GACCAGGCGCAGTGGCTCACGCCTGTAATCCCAATACTTTGTGAGACTGAGGCTGGCGGATCACTTGAGGCCAGGAGTTAGAGACCAACCTAGGCAACATGGTGAGACCCCGTCTCTACTAAAAATAAAAAAAAAAATTAGCCAGGTGTGGTGGCAGGCCCCTGGAAGCCCAGCTACTTTGGGAGGCTGAAGCAGGAGAATCACCTGAACCAGGAGGTAGAGGTTGCAGTGCGCTGAGGTCGTGCCACTGCACTTCAGCCTGAGCAACAAAGTGAGACTGTCTCAAAAAAAATAAAATTAAGAGTTCTCCCTTCTGCCTCCTTGATCAGAGACCTCACTGCAGGGACTTTCGGGGCTTTTCCTCGAGCCCAAATCAACCAAGCTGTGGTAGTCAGTCCTGGGCCCATTCCTCCCTCCCTGCAGAGTTGGGAATTTTGAAATTGTCAGGCATGGGCAGGGGCCAAGGCAGGGCGGGTGAATTCTTCTGCAGCCTGCTCTCAGCGCCTGGCCACATTTGATCATTCTCTCACATGGATGTGCGAGGCCTGAGAGTGAGTCGCTGGCGATGGCAGAGCCACCTTATTGGAATAGCATGTTAGCATTTAAACAATATTAATACTATTTGACTCATTAAATATACAAAGGCCAGTTAAAGTGCTTCCATGTGTGGGCTGTTAGTTCTGGCGGGCAACTCCTCAGATGGCTTCATGTGGTTTCAGACAACATTTTAGCACATTCTTAAAATACCCACAAAAGCCTTTATGTAAAAACTCATAAATGCAAACCACATAAAAATTATTTTTTTCCTTGTTTCATGTTGTTATGATCAAAGTACAGTAGGTAAGAAGTAAATTTTCAAAAACGTGTTGTGGTCCCTCTTTAATTAATGCTTCACGCGCAGCGCAAGGCCATAAAGCACGCAGTGGGGGCGCTGTCTGTGCGCCCGGCAGTCACCTCCCACTGAAGGTGTCCGGAGCCGTCCTGACAGCACTTGCCTGAGAGGCCGGTGCTTCCGTGCGATTCTGAAACTGGCCTTAATAATTGGGCAGTCCTCTGCTGCCTTTGTCTCAGAATGTCAGGTTGAGACTTGTGGCTGCTCCAGTCCCTGGAGATCCCTTTTCGTGAATGGAAAGCAAGTCCATTCTTGAATTATTGTGGTGTTTGAGCTGTACCTGCAGGTGCCAGGTCTCAGCACGTCTGACTCACCTCAGAGGGAACACCCCGATTCAGAGAGGGAACAGATTCAAAGCAAGAGACCAACCGCCCCACCTCTAACTCTGCCACCATTGTTTCTTTATTAAAAGTCAGATCGACGGGAAATGAGGATACTACCCAATGGAATATTGTCCTTGCTATTTAAAATGATTATAGAGATCATGTGGCTCCGTGGAAAAATGCACATGATTCCGTGCCAAGTGAAAACAGCCGAATTCAGCGTGGTACTCTTGCTGTGCTCACGGTTATATAAAAATCATGCATCTGGACTGGAAGGGAATTTGGAAAAATCAGATTTATGGGATAAGTTGATTTATGGTATTGTGGGCTAATTTTCAGATTTCCTTTTTTTAAAAAACAATAATGTTCTTGCAGTAAGCTTTTAAGTTGTGGGTAAAAGAATAGTAACCCCACAAAGAGGTCACAGTTGAGCTTGCGTTTTTACCTCCCCTGGCCCCAGCATTTGAAACATTAGACCTGGTCACTGTGGCCCGCCAAGGAAAAGCTGCCCACAGTGGGAGCCAGGCCACGGGGTGGGACGTTGGACTGGAAACGGCTGGTTCCACCTTATAAAACTTTAATGCGGTTGTTTTATTTTTCTGGAAGAAACGGAGCACTCAGGGATGGGTTTGAGGGGAAGCAGCCGTAGGCCACCTGGTGCTTTTGAACTGGTCCCTGGATAGTGTCAACAAGGGCTGTCAGGCCATCGGGATTTGTCCTGGTTCCCCTCCAGGGCAGCCTGATCTGCGTCCCCCCAGTGTCCCAGCACGCAGAAAAGAGCAAGCCATGGGCAGGCATGGCACCGCAGCTCTGCACAGAGCTGTGAAGGAGCGGAAGGATGAAATGCCTGGGCTGCAGGCCTTTCCAGAACGACCAAAGGAAAGAAGGAACGATTGGCCCATCCTTCTTGCCAGCACAAGAAAAGCCACAGTTTTCAAAGTGGGTGTTTCTGTTTTATTTATTTTTATTTTTTGTCCCCCACTGCTTATGTGGGGCTGCTCTCCCTGTAAGCCGACTGAAGGGGAAAACCGTGTGCTAGAACCAACCCGTCTGTCGCCAATATGAAGGGTATGAGCAGGTCTGTTGAGAGCTGCTCTTCCCTCAGTAGTATTGATGTGCCTCGTAAGTTAACTTGAGAGAATCCAGGGGAACAGGCCAGAAAGGCCCACAGAGCCCACGCTGCCAGTCATCTGAGCCCTGCTAAACCCCAGGTCCAGCATGCGCGGTCAGTCCCTCTCCAGGTGTTTCTGGAGCATTCCAGAAGTGCCTGGTCTATCCAGCTCTGTGTGGGGCTGATCCAGACCAGGAAGGCCCTATGGAGGTAGATGGGGCCTTGGGCCCTGGACCAAAACACTCATCTGCTTACCTTCCTTCGCCCTAAGTTAGGGGAATTTGGAGAGAGACTGAAGTAAAGGAAATGATCTTCTGAAGTGGGGTCCCTGAGTGCCAATGTTGGCCAGTTTCCTGGACCTCACCTGTGCCAGCAGGGAGCCCTGGGCCCCACAGGTGTGTCTGTTCATCCAGTGGTCCTTGTCCTCTCGTAGGAAGGGTGCCTGTGCTGCACCTGCCAGAGCCAGACCCTTCCCCACCTGCACAGTGACCAGCGATTAGCTCAGCAGCTGGCAGCGGACACCTCCCTCCCACAGGTGTTCCCTGAGTGACTCTTGTGTCAGCCAGGCAGTCCTGCCTTCATCTGCCTCCTGCAGACTCGCCCATGGGAGGCATGGTGGTGAATTCAGTTTGATAGCTTCATCGCAGTGGGCGGTCCAAGAGGGAGGAATGGGGAGATGTAGTCCTACAGCAGGAGCTGGCCTCAGCCTGCCTGAGGGAGCCCTGCAAGGGAGGGCCGAGGGTAGCCCACCTGAATCAGCCCCCTGGGTGCTCCGCAGGTCTGCGGGTTGGAGCGAGGGCAGACCAGCCAGGGCACCCTGTGTCTTACCAACACAAGCAGGAGATTCTCATTCTCCTGGGAGGGTGCCTTGCTTCCTTGATCTGATGGTCTCTTAGTTCCATTACACTCTGGTGTATTCGTGTACTGATTTTTTACAAAAGCTTTTTAGTTTGGAATAGTATGACTTACTGTAAAATTGCAAAAAAAAAAAAGGGGGGTGGAAGTACAGAGAATTCTTGTATACCCATCACCCACATTCTCTAAATATTAGTTTACCATGTGTCTTTTTTGTTATATAATAGCTTTGGTGAGACATAATATATAGATACATGTTAACTTCTAGTACTTAATTTTAATAATGAAAACAATAATGACCATTTGGCAGGTGTCTAGTTTCCTAATTGTTTTTGTCTCTCAACAGCCCCAGAAAGTAGATGAAGTCCCTAAGGCCCATGTTCACACAGCTGGTGCTTTAGTAAATAGTTGTTGGGTGCATGTGTGCCTGAGCATAGCTCATAGCTGGGGGTGCTAGAGCTGTCACTGAGTCTGACTCCCCAAGCCTGTTCCCACCCAGTGCACCATGCTGCCCACCTTCCAAGCTGTGTGGGGCTGAGGGAGTGTGCTCTCAATACACCTGCCACTCTGGGGCTTAATAGGGGTCAGAGAGGCCTCAGACTTTCTGATAAAGATGTGCTCACCATGAGAGATGAGATGGGCCACCACAGTTGGTTATCAGCAGAGATAAGATTCCTCTCTTTGGGACTTAATTGGGATTGGAGAAGCTACAGACTTTCCCCACAAGAAATGAGATTTCGCATGGTCTCTGTTGGTTATCAGCAGCATTTGCGGTTCCCATCAGCTGACCCCACCCCTTGACTCTGCTCATGGCAGCCCCAGTGAGCCACAGTAGTTGACCTGGGTCGGTTGAGTTTGGGATCCCAGACTGATTCCCTGTTTTCATCTGGCCTTTTTTTTCCTTCTTCTATTTGATCATAATTAGAAATGTTTCTGGGCTGGTGGGGGGGTGGCTCACACCCATAATCCCAGCACTGTGGAGGCCAAGGCGGGAGGATCACTTGAGGTCAGGAGTTCCAGAGCAGCCTGGCCAACATGGCAAAACTCCATCTCTACTGAAAATACAAAAATCAGCCTGGTGCGGTGGTACGCACCTGTAATCCCAGCTACTTCGAGAGGCTGAGGCCAGGAGAATCGTTTGAACCTAGGAGGTGGACATTGCAGTGAGCCAAGATGGCGCCAGTGCACTCCAGCGTGGGTGACAAAGCGAGACTTCATCTCAAAAAAAAAAAAAGATGTTTCTGTATTGACTCAGATTTGAGGAGGAAGCTCTGTCTCGAGCTGAGCCCTTCGTTTCCAGCCAGCACTTTGTGGGAAGTTGCTCCAGAAGACCAGCAGGAGCCCTGGTCTTCCGGACTCAGGAGGGATCAGGATATAGGGAGTTTGTTGCTATATTTTCTCATCTGCCCTATAAAATATCCCAAAAGACAGAAATATCGAACAACCGTGGTCACTCCGGTGGCCTGCATGGATTATCACTGGATGTCACTCGCTGTACTGCGTTCTTTATCTGGAAGGAGTGTGACACCCAGAGAGGTTTAGTAATCTAAAGACCACAAAGCTAGAGGAGGTGGCAGAGCCCAAACTCAAATTCATCTTTATGACACTAAACCTACTATTCCCCCAAGGATGCTGCACCACCTCCCCCAGCGAAAGGACGATCAGAACACACCCAAGGATCGGCTCCTACAACCGTTGCAGGGAGGGCCCCAAATCCCAGACAGGTGTTCAGGTGAATCTTTGCTGAGCAATAGCCTGGGACCCAGGCTGATGATCTGTCATTTAACATCTAACAGGCACATTGGCCTGTTTCCTGCAGGTATTTTGAAGGCGGCGTCTCATCTGTCTACCTCTGGGATCTGGATCATGGCTTTGCTGGAGTGATCCTCATAAAGAAGGCTGGAGATGGATCAAAGAAGATCAAAGGCTGCTGGGATTCCATCCACGTGGTGGAAGTGCAGGTACTGCCCCCCAGCAGCTGGTGGCCGGGGCCAATGGGTATAGATGGCACACCAAACAGTGCAGCCCTGCTCTCCAGCAGATGCGGGGGAATGCTATGATCTCTGAACCCCTGATAATTCTGAAAAATGTCTCAAAGCCATTTGGATAAAGATAAGTCAAGATTGCAGTAGTCATTGATGATTAAGTTCCCAAAAGAAATACACAATTAGAAATGTTGTCCCTTTAAAAACCAGTCAGGGTTTTATAAGAAAAATAATATTGTGAGGCTAGGTGCGGTGGCTCATGCCTGTACTCCCAGCAGTTTGGGAAGCTGAGGCGGGCAGATCACCAGAGGTCAGGAGTTCAAGAGCAGCCTGGCCAACATGGCAAAACCCCATCTCTACTGAAGACAAAAAAAATTAGCCAGGTGTGGTGGCAAGACGCCTGTAATCCCAGCTACTTGGGAGACTGAGGCAGGAGAATCACCTGAATCTGGGAGGCGGAGGCTACAGTGTCTAAGATCACACCACTGCACTCCAGCCTGGGCCACAGAGCCAGACTTTGTCTCAAAACAAAGGTAGTATTTTGATAATGACCTAGGAAGGGAGATGTTAGGATAACCCTGAATTTAAGGGGCCACTTCAGGCTCTCCCCCAGCTCAGCAGGTCTCTGTCTTGTCCTTCCAGGAGAAATCCAGCGGCCGCACCGCCCATTACAAGTTGACCTCCACGGTGATGCTGTGGCTGCAGACCAACAAATCCGGCTCTGGCACCATGAACCTCGGAGGCAGCCTCACCAGACAGGTAGAGTTACTGCTCCTAGCCACTTGCCTGTGCCCACCGGTGCTGGCCTCAGTGCTGACCTGCATAGATGAGTGAGCAGGGGCCCCATTTAGGATAAATGTGTTCAGCGAGCTATAAATCCACCATCCAAGTAGGTAGGGCTTCACATTTTCAAATGAAAGCCCTCTAGGCTGTACGTGGTTGCCCACAGCTACCGACACCCTGCTAGCCTTCTGCTGAGGGAGGCCAGGTGCTGGCCGTGGCTCCTCCTTACCCCTCAGGGCCCCACACACCCCCATGCTTCAGGCTCACGTTGTGCTGTAAGAAGCGGTGCATGGCTCTGTTTGCTGTCTCTGTGGCCATTCCCGGCCCATCAGTCAGGCCAGTCTCTGGAAGCCGCTTACCTGCTGCACCTTGCTGCCCTCAGCCTAGTCCAAGGACCAGCATCAGCATCACCAAAGAGCTTGTCAGAAAGGCAGAAATACCTGGCCCCACCCAGACCTGGCAAATCAGGATCTCCATTTTCACAAAATTCTCCAGGTAGTGTGTGCACATTGAAATTTAAGAAGTGCCCTATTGGTTACCTCTCTCTTACCCATCTTTTGTTTGGGTATCACTAGCAACCCTTCTCTATGGCGTTGCTCCCAGGTTCTGTCTGAGGCAAACTTGGACTTGGACTGGAAGGTCCTGCCTCCGCTGAGCAGACTTGCCTGCACTTCTACTGTAGATGCTCCCATAAGCATCTAGGTGGGTTTAAGATCCTTGTATAAGGGTCCATGTTCAGGCCCCTTCAACCCCCATCCCAAGAGAAGGCCTTAACCTTCTGACAGTGCAGTGCCACCAGATGCTTGGCGTGAAGGGGAAAGAGAAAGCACAGACCAAGCACAACTGGGCTTCAGAAGGACCCTGCTTTGCCTTCAGCGAAGTCGGTATCAGCAGAAACCACATGGCCTTGAGAGCCTCAGGAGGGAGCCACTTTGTGAAAGGATGCCCTTCCATTCTCGGTTCCAATGGTCCCTGACTCCACTGTGAGGATTCCTTTTAACGTCAGAGAGCTCTTTCAGTAAGAATTATGCTCTCGATAGCTGTGAATAGAAAAAATATGACCGAATGGATCAAGGTAGTAAATCTTTTTTTTTGGTGAGACAGTGTCTCACTCTGTCACCCAGGCTGGAGTGCAGTTGTGTGATCTTGGCTCACTGCAACCTCCGCTCTGGGTTCAAGCAATTCTCCTGCCTCAGCCCCACAAGTAGCTGGCATTACAGGCACGCACCACCATGCCCAGCTATTTTTCTTTATTGTTAGTAGAGATGGGGTTTCACCCTGTTGGCCAGGCTGGTCTCCAACTTCTGACCTCAAGTGATCTGCCCAGCTCGGCTTCCCAAAGCACTAGGATTACAGGCGTGAGCCACCGCGCCCGGCCCAATGTAGTAAATCTTTTAAGTAAATTTGTATTCTGCTAGTTACAACATCTACATGCATTTAAAAAATATGGTTCAAGGTGAATGACAGCCATCATGCCTGGGGATCCCCTGCCCCCACCTGTAGAAGCTCCGCTGCCTCTCCTGCGTCAGAGGGGCTGGAGGCCAGAAAGGATGTTGGGGTCCTCTTTTTGGCCTCTGGGCAGGGATGTCCCGGTCCCACCCCAGAACTATGCACTAGTGCTCATGGGGGCGCTTTGCCTGTTTGCATGGAAGTGGACTCTGATCTTTCAGGGGCCATTGGCTGGGGAGGAGCAGCCAAACTCCCAGGCAGCCAGCTCTCCTGCAGCTCAAATCCCCCACATCCTGCCACCTGGGGAGTGGGTGGAAAATCCTCTCTGTATCCAGAGACTGCTTCCTGCACCACTTACCGCTCCAGGCTGTTGATAATTCCACCTGGTTTACAGTGACCTGGACAAATATTTAATCCTTAGCCCTCCCAATAGTTTAAATCAGAGCTGTCAGCCCATGGCCAGAGCCTGGTTCTGGCTTGCTGTGAACAGTGTCTCCTGCCAAGCAAGACCCAGGCCTGATGAGTGCCTGTCCTCAGCACACCTCAGCCAGGGCTTCAGACCGTGTTTGCATTGCCTTTTGCTCTTGGGGCTTTAATGAGGAAATTCATGCTCTGTCATCATTCTAATGGCCGATCACATAATTCATTTGAGGTGCATTAAAGCTGGGGCTGGGTTCCAATGTAAGTAACTACAGAAGGGGGAAGGATTGCAATGAGGTAGACAAATCTAAGTTAATGATGCACAGCTTCTGAGCAAACAGGGGAAGTGAGGGTTGCAGAGCTTGGCTACAGGTCCCAGAGGAGCCTTGGGAAAATGGCTGTGCTTGCCTGGCTGGGTGGTGAAGGGCTCTGGGAGAGGTGAGCAGATCAGTGTTAGTGTGAACCTGCATGCTTTGCAGCCTGTCCGCTCTGGTTAGATTCTAAGCAAGGTCCAGTTAGTCCCATTTAACAGGTGAGGAAGCTGAGATTCAAACTCAAATAAATTGCCCATATAACTTTTTTTAAAAACTTTTTTTTTTTTTGAGACGCAGTCTCACTCTTGGTGCCCAAGATGGAGTCCAATGGTGACATCTCGGCTCACCGCAACCTCTGCCGTCCAGGTTCAGGCAATTATCCTGCCTCAGTCTCCCAAGTAGCTGGGATTACAGGCATGTACCACCACGCTTGGCCAATTTTTGTGTTTTTAGTAGAGATGGGGTTTCTCCACGTTGGTCAGGTTGGCCTGGAACTCTTGACCTCAGGTGATCCACCTGCCTCAGCCTCCCAAAGTGCTGGGATTACAGGCATGAGCCACCGCCCCCGGCTTGCCCATATAAATTAAATAGTAAGACGCAAAGCCAGGATGTGAACCCGGATTTGTCTGGTGAGAAAAAAAAATGCTACTTTCTGCCACACCACAACTGTTTTGGTCTTAATTCATCCCCTGTGCCTGCCATTTGATGAGACTGCTAAATAAACAGTCAGATGGAAGTCAGGGGCAGTCAGCTCAGTGTAGACAGGACACTGTCTCTGCAGCCAGCATGAGCAGCTGCAGTGGCCATGTGGCCTTGGAAGCAGGCAGCCTCTGGAAGCAGGGCAACCCTCTAGAGCCCACATGGGGTCGGGGCTCCCTGGGGGTGTGCTGAGCAGCGCCACCCTCTGGGCCCCTCCCGTGGCTGTGCCTTTGTCTTTCAGGATGACCTCCTGCAGAAAGCCACTTGGCCACAAGTGGCCACGGCGGTGTCTTCACTACTAGAAGCAGTCAGGGGGGCTTTGAGGTTTCTAGGGAGTCCAGTGATCTGATGACAGCTGTGTTTTCAGAAGGTGGCTGTGCCAGCGGCCTGGGGAAAGCAGTTAGAGTCATCCAGGAGAGAAGACATGGTGGTCAGTGCAGAAACTGGTGTCTGTCCATCCATCCGAGGCAGGAGGTGGCAGGGACAGAAACAGAGAGCGGCAGGGGAAGAAGGGCGGGCTGGGAGGCGTTCTGGAGCAGAGTGGTCGGACTGGGCCACAACTGAGAGGTGAGGTGGGGTCAGATGAGAGCCCCTCACTCGAGTTCTTCCCTACACAGTCCTCACGACAACCTGGGCTGGGCTTTTCCTCTGGAAACTTGGCCTCATCCAGGTCACCCATGCTCACGTGCCCCACGTGTGTCAGGAAGGAAGGCTGCTTGGTTTTGGAGCCATCTCCCCAGGCCCACAGTGCCAGGCCCTGACCCCAAGAGCCCTCCCAGCCAGCATCAGCACCCTCAGCAAGACCCCGTGGGTTCCCAGTTCTCCCAGCGTCCTGTGACCCAGCCTGCCTCACCTTGGCAGCAGCCACAGCTGCCCTTCCCCGTGTGTGGCCCCGGGCGCACCGTCATCTTCCTGTTTCCCACGGCCCATCTGGGGAAGACCACTGGCTTTGGCTTACTGGCACCTCCAGGGGTCCCTTTTGTGGGCTACCAGGCTGTGCCCCATGCCCACTCGAGTCCCAGTGTAGACAGCTGATGGTAGGCCCGTGGCCGGGGCAGAGCACCACTCTCCTGGGCACGTGTGACAGAGGTGGAGAGCCTGAGCTGTGCTTGCCAGCCAGTGAGGACACAGCTAGCATGCAGCGAGGCCGCGCTCCCTCCCCCAGCCCTGCCTCCCTCACTTTCGCCTTTTATTACTCCCACCCACTACCACCAAAAGACATGTCTAGGGACGTCTGCTGGAAGACAAGGTGAATAGCTAAAGTGTTCTGGCAAATTCCTGCAGCAGTGGGGCTGTCGGAGAGGTGAGCCACAGGTCTCATGGAGGCTCCTTACGGCCAGGTCATACCTTCCTACCAAGGCTTGTGGACATGTGAGGGCTGGCAAGCAGAAGGTGCCCTCCGGCACACTGCCACGTGGGCCCCCGTAGGAAGGCTGTGGAGCAAGTGAAAAAAGGTTGCCAGCCCCGAGTTCCAGAATAGTGAAAAGAAGTCGTACTGAGGGGTCATGTCTCCTGTGTGACAGGAGATGTCGGAAAGAGGCGAGACCATAAATCTCTGAAGAGAAGTCCAAGGTTTCCCATCTGGGGACGAGCCCTGCAGATGTTCGTTTGATATTTTTTCAGCTTCTAAATATTTAGAAATGAAGGTGGAGTGTTTTGCTGAGTGGGGAGATCAGGCGGGTCATTGGCTAGTGAGCCCTCTCTCCCCACTCAGCGGTAGACGCCCACAGTATATCTTCAGGCAGTAAAAGCCCAGCAGAGTCTCTTGCCTGTGTACCCTAGCAGGAATGTCCTCTCTGACTTGTGCTTGGCAGTTAGGCCAGGCAGTATATTTTCGTCACAGGGAAGAAGCCCATCGCCCTTCCAGATGGAGGGAACAAAGGGTGGGCTGGGCCCGACTTGGCATGCCCAGGAGAGCACGCTCGCTGGGGAGGCCTGGTTGCAGCTGCAGACATGCTCCTGGTGTCCCGTGGGGCTCCTGGGTTCAGGGGTGGAGATGCTTGAGCAGCGCAGCTTCGAGGGGCAGCTGGGTTTTTGTCAGATGACCTGGGGTAGAGTGACCAGTGCCTGGCTGAGAAGGAAAGCTGGCATGAG